ACCGGCATTGGGTCATTACATGTCAATGCGGAAACTCGTACATTCGAACCAGTGGTATGAAATTAAGAGATCGATTCGAAAAAACTTTCAGATCCTTCAAAGCAACCGTAGGAAATCAAATTACGACACACACAAACTTAACACATCACACAACAGTAAGCAACGCACCAAAGAAAGGACGAAACTCAACGTATTGGAAAACCTAGAGATTTACAAACAAATATATCTTCGCACAAATACTCATAATCACACACTACTTTTATCTCATTAAGAATCACCAAGTTTTGGCACGCATATAGACTTGAATTTACAGAAATTTCACGTCAGAAAACACTATCTGCACAATAGTTACTTTTCTAGGTTTATGTTAGCACATTTTTTTTCTACCTGCCAAAAATATTTAAATTTTTAGCTTCTTGATGAGAAATAACAAGCAAACAGCTAATACCAATTCATGTGTCTTAGGCCAATATTTAAAGTAGTTTTTTTTAATACGGCTTTCATATAAGACAGGTTTCTCTTTTTTTGTAATTATTTACCCCATTTAAATTTACGATTGGAATCTGATTTTTCGAGAAATAGTTGCTTCGTTTGAACGTGCTATCTGACTAGGATAAGGGAGAATCGAAGCAACAACCTCAGCAGGGAGACGGTGTGTCTAACAAAACAGAAATTAAGTGATAACTGTCAATACAACAAACAGAGAAATGTTGACAGTAATTTGATCGGAATTGATCACCTCCAGTCCGCCTATTCTCGCCGTTGGCGTGTCGCATCCACCGGAAATCGTTTAATGCCAAACTGACACAAGTTGTCAGTCCCGTTTCGGCTTAGCCGTTCACTTGAAGTGACAACATCGAGAGCAGGTGGACCATTGAAGATCAATTTTGATTATGAATTGTTCCTCTATATCTAATAACTCTGTTCGGTTCCGGTCATGAATTATTGTGTTAGACGCTTCATATGGCAACAGGAATCGTTAAGAAAAATTAAGTAATTAAATGATCAAATGAACACTAATTTAAGAGGTCAAAAATCTGCAGAATATATGCCATATAAATTAGGATAAAATAATATCCAAACATATAGTATTAGGTTATACGTTCAATAAAATTAAGCTAGATTTCTTTTACTAACGTGTGTTAACAATCAAATTAATGCGAACTTAAATTTAAGAGTGATTAGTGACCGTTAGTTGATGATTATTCGGAGATCGTGAGATGCGGTCTGGTGTGACGTAGGTTTTAGAAAAACATTTTCTTTGTCATGCCAACGTTTCGATCTTTATTGAGATCCTCTTCGGGGCTCAAAGTGTTTGTTTTCTGCGTAATTGTGCATTCTTGTGTGTCGTGTTGAGAGTGCCCATGTTTAAATTTAAGGAAAATGGCACTTAATGGAAAATGGCGGCATGGTACCGTCGAACACAGATATACACACACCACACGGAAAAATTAATTAACCTCATTATTCTGAAAACGTTCATTGAATGCTATTTATTGCAATTTTACCTTGTGAATAATCGAGATTCCCCAGTTGTAATAATTTTAGGTTGAATAAATTTTTTTGATATTCCTTGTGGCTGGTTCTGATTTTGGTCTAGGAATAATGTTATTTTTTAATACTTTTTATACTAATAAAGTATTTTATTGAGTACTATTTCTCTCTCTCTCTCTCTCTCTCTCTCTCTCTCTCTCTCTCTCTCTCTCTTACACACACACACACACACACACACTTTTTTATTGCTAATTACACTCCTATCACAGACACTTTTTCCCTCTACGAAGTAAATAGCGAGCCAATTTTCGCTTCTGAGGATGAGCGGGAAGGGTTTGGGATGATAGAAGTTTGTCCAGGAGGTTGGGATTTTGGTCTGAGCTTTTATAGAATTTTATAGTATTTTGTATTCTTCTGTTATTCTGCTGAATCGAGTGTACCAAGTAAATCGATGGACTATGTAAAGTTCTAAATAGCGAAAAATATTAGTTGATGAGAGGAGTTACAGTACATTGGAAGAAAAGTGACACGATAGTGTGTGAAGGGTATTTCAAGGGATTTGTTTCCATTGAGTCTGATCCTCCATTTCTTGTAACATCCTTAACAACGGGAGGTTTCTGAAGGCCACTAGTTGGGGTTCTTTGAGAGGATCGTATCGTCTGCATATGTGAGAAGTAATGTATTGGAATGGAAGTCTGCAGTGTATATTGAATAGAGAATGGGACCGACGACCTGCCTTGAAGAACACGCGCTTCGGCACAGCTGATGGGGATCGAAGCACAAACTATGTTCCAAATCGCACTTGAATGTACCTACTGGACTGGTAGGGTTTTAGGTTGTGGTAATAAGTAAATGGAAGAATGCCCTTGGTTTCACTCGTTCTATGCCACCGGAGGATCATTCTCTCCGCTCAAGGAATGATACTATTGAATATTGAAGTCAGAAATCTTATTTAAAATGTTAAAGAATAGATCACAGCATGTAAAACCTCTTATTTGAAAAGAGAAAAAAGAGCATGTTAGATGAATTAAAAAAATTAAAATGATAACAAAATAGTCGTTTTAAATGTTTCTACGTTCGTGATTTAGCCCTAAAACATTTCCTCTAACCAAGCCCGGCGTGTTCTTTTGGTTACCTCGTGTAATTGAATTTTACCGTAAACACTCCATTTTCATCAACCCTTAACTGCTTTAATTTGTACTTTTCATCGAAATCAGACTTGACAGTGATGTGTTAATTAAACTGATGGCTGTTAAATTACAGAAAAAACAAGAATTCTCTCAATTTGGCAAATTATTTCACCGAATGTCTTTTTGATTGTAGTGGGAGGTGTTATTTTTGTAAAAGTAATCAATCTGGACCGCTAGGGCCGGATTAATCGATCCACTTTCCTTTAATATTTAACGCTTGTATTATCAAAGAACATTTCTAGAAACCTTTCCTTGAAATTTTAATGTAGAAATATTTTTGAGTGGTGTTTAGTGACCGTTAGTTAATGATTATTTGGAGATCGTAAGATGCGGTCTGGTGTGACGTAGGTTTTAGAAAATCATTATCTTTATCGTGCCAACGTTTCGATCTTTATTGAGATCATCTTCAGGGCCTGGAATTAATAAACATTGTTTAAATTATACAAATAGATAGAGGATGTGAAAAAAATGAATTTATAGAAGATAGACATTTTAGACTCAATCACAGTATTTGTACTCACTCAAAGTGTTTGTTTTCTGTGTAGATGTGTCATTTGTGTGTCGTGTTGAGAGTGCCAGTGAGATATTGATGTTTGATGTTTATATAGGTTGGATTTTGAAGGGGTGGAGAAGTAAGTAGGGATAGAAAAACATAAAAATATTGATTATAATATAAAATATTTATAACATATTTATTATAATCTAAAAATATTTATTATATTATATACTTTTTTTGGTTTTTCTAAACCTACGTCACACCGGACTGCATCTCACGACCTCCAAATAATTAAGTAAAAATATTTGTTGTTAACTTTTCATTTTAAAGCATTTACGTCAAAGATATTTTACATTTTTGTAAAAAAATAATATAAACAGTAAAATGCAATGTCTTCATATAATTTTATAAGGAAATAAAAATAAAAGAAGCATCATAAAAAAATATTAATGATAATATACAATAAATTTAATATTTCAATGATCTCTAAGCTGTTTTAAATCTTTAGTATTAAGCTTAAGCAGTATTACATATTAATTGAAAACAAAATTTAACGAAGAGTAATCAACTTTTGTTTATTTAAGTCAGCAGTTTATGAGATGATTTTTCTAACGTCAAATCAATCAATTATATAATTTTTTATGTGTTGTATTTGGTGACCATTAATTAATTAATGATTTTTTGGAGATCGCTTATGCGGTCTTGTGTGATGTAGGATAGAAAATAATTTTCTTTATTGTGCCAACGTTTCGATCTTTGTTCCGATCATCTTCAGCCTTACAGTTTATGTTGATGTGTCACGGTTGTATGACTACACTCGTAACACGACACACAACCGTGACACATGTACACAGAAAGCACTTACTTTTAGTCCTGAAGATGATCTACATAAAGATGATAAGGAAAATTTTTTTCTTACCATTTTTTAGTTGCCGGACAATTTAAAGATTTTGTAAATTACATCAGACTTCTTTGTTTCTGGTGTGGGATCTTTGGAAAAAAGTGAGAATTGTGGTAAAGTTTTTGAGGCTATTTTAAAGTAATCAGAAGAGAGAAATGTGTTTAATTTATGTGATAGCACTTGAATGAATGGCATTTTATAGATTTGATGTAGTATTATTGGTACTAGTGTATTTGTATAATTTAAACAATGCTTATAAATCCCAGGCCCTGAAGATGATCTCAATAAAGATCGAAACGTTGGCACGATAAAGAAAATGTGTTTCAAAACCTACATCACACAAGACCGCATCTCACGATATCGAAATAATAATTTTTTATTACGATTAATTAAGGTTTTTAGTTGAGATAAAAAAGTCAATGGCACGAGCGGGATTTGAACCCACGATCTTCGGCTAGATACGCCGCTGCTCTACCACTCGAATCCCCCTCGTGCCATTGACTTTTTTATCTCAACTAAAAACCTTAATCAATCGTAATATATTAATTGGTCAAGCGGACCACGGAATTAGTGCACTTAATGAATTAAAATGAAGTAACTTCACTAAAGCTCTCTTTGATTTGTCGTCGAGAATCCAATCCGATTACACGACATTTGAAAAATGGCAAAAATGAGGGAAAACTCAAAAGGTGGGGTTGAGATAGGAAGTTGGTGTCCGAGTGGATCGAGGTCACGATAGCTCAAGTGCTAGAGCAGCGGCGTATCTAGCCGAAGATCGTGGGTTCGAATCCCGCTCCTGCCATTGACTTTTTTATTTCAACTAAAAACCTCAATTAATCGTAATATATTAATTGGTCCAGCGGACCACGAAATTAGTGAATTTAATAATTTTTTATGTTGATTTTGTTTTTGATTTCAGAGATGAGGGAGGGCCGGAGGAGCTAAGAGAGATGTGAAATATTCTAGATATGTGGGGATACACAACATTGGTGCTCGCCAGCGCGCACCTCGCGCTCGGATTCTCTTGCGTTTGTTCCCCGAGTGAATGCGAACCCCTGGCAGAAGACGATTGCCCACCAGGGGTCGGTACTGTCTGGGACCCCTGCGGCTGCTGTAGGGTCTGCGCTAGAACGGAAAACGAGCCTTGCGGCGGCCCCTACGGCTTCTACGGCACTTGCGGTTCAGGTCTGGAATGTGTCGTCTCTGACGTCATGTCTGAAGGTGTCGAAGGGACATGCAAAAGTAAGTAACTTACTTTTTCGTGTAAATTTTAATAATTAAATTTAAAAAATCTCTATTAAAGTTACAAAAATCAATCCGGGTAATTAATTTTATGACACATAGAAAACTGATGTTACAGCATGTAAAAGCAAACTTAATAGTTGGCTCAATATGCCAATAACTAAATCGTCGACTTTAGCGGAAGTCCAAATGATTTTTTGTAAGGAGTTATGCCAGTAATCAATATCCACTTGTACAAAAATTAACTTAAATCAACAAGCCGAAGGTCGTGGGTTCGAATCCCGCTGACACTAACTTTTTCATTTCAAACCAAACATAAAAGATTAATTGATTAAAAGTAGTAATTTGGTCAATCATACCACCAAATATAACGTATTAAATTAATAACTTAAGTAATTGATTTGATAGTAATAAGAAAATGTCTTTATTGTTGCCTGACCAGCCTGTTTGACTACTATAATCTTTATTCCATTAACAATAACAATTTTGATTATGTTAAAATTTAAGTAGAAAATTTAACTTTGAAGTAGTTGGGTCAGATCGCAGTTGTTATAGCTGTTATTATTATATTTAAAGGGCGGTTTAACGACTAAGACCGATTCAATCCCACTATCAATTAACGTTAATTAAAACTGCTATACTATATCCATAATGAAGTTAATTAATCTTTCCTCATCCACCTCCAAACTCCGAGGATGTATAAGGTTAACACCAAATTATTACCGTGGTCGTTTATTAATTAAATTTATTTAATGGCCATAATATTTTAGTTTAAGAATTTTGATGTCTCTCAAACTCTAGAAAACATCAATAATAAAACTTATATTGTTTGTAATCATTTTTAGAAGGTGATTGTATATCTTGTATAGAAGCTGAAAAAAAGTTGAGTTGTGAAAATAAAAACCGTGTAAGAGGAAAAGCATGCCACGACCCATTTCAGTAGTTGGTGTTAGAGGAAGTTGACTGCACGACTGTTGAAAATGTTTTATTCTTGTAGATTTAACATCTTGTAATAGGTGAAAAAGTTGTTTTTATGACCGTAGGTAAGAAAATGTTCAAAGGGTAAAAACCAACCGCGAGAAAGTATCCCACACGAAAAAGCCGTTTCTACAATTTCACCCCTCCCAATAAAGAGTAAAACATTGGCGAACGAAGTGGAGTAAAATTAAATTCCTATAGTTTTAACTAATTTTGGTACAAGGGGTTTGGTTTAATTAAACAAGAATTTCTAGGATGAGTAGTCTTAATAAAGTTGGAGGTTGACCACAGATGTACCGCCTTTACCACCCGAATTGGCAGTTAGTCCCTCTCGCCCCCCTGTCGCGGCCATGTTTTAATTAAAACGATCAAAATATTTATATAGGTAGGCGATTAAACTTTACGGTCATGTGGGAAAGATGTCGATAGTGTGTGGACGTAAAGTGTGGGTAATAAAATTCTCGTTTCCCAAGAATTCAACTAACCCATGGTGAAGTAGGTCATAAAGTGATTGGTCCAAGAAACGATAAAAAAACAGCTTAAATTTAAATGAATTCAAGAAATGCCCATTTAGTTTACACTGCTCTTTTTAACGACTAACATCATTTATTCCCATTATTAAGCATACTGACTTACAAATAAACTTTCAATTTTAATTTTTAATGCACTCTATATTCTCCCAAATCCATCTGTCTCTTGTTCCACAATTTTTTTCTCGCAACTATATCCAATAATAACAATCAAACAACAATTTTGAGATTTTTACGTGTAGTCTGCAGGGCGGTGAATGTGTAATTTGGTCGATACCTCTCTGAAGACATTCGCGATTTCGCTAAATTAAGGGTTTGCTGTACGACAAAAAATATTATTCTAATCGATAAATTCTTACTATTAGACAAAATGGTGAAATTTTCGTGTGTCATTTTGTCCAGTTTGTCAAACAATCCACCACTGAAGATGTCATCGACCAACCGAGCAAGGACCGGCAGACCAAATTCGGTAATAACCAAATTACAAAATCAAACCATAATCAGAATATCTGAAACTATTAAGAAATTGAACAATTAAGATAAAATCTTCACCAATATAATAATCATTCTTGCTAACGCGCAAAGTTGTACAGAAGTACGTCATATTGGTGGACCGCGGTAGCCGAGTGGTTAGTGTGAGAGACTCTCGGCTCAGACCCGCGGTCGTGGGTTCGATTCCCACCGTCGCCACTGGCTTTTTCTTCTTTCACAATCCCTCCTCCCATATGAATACACATATCATAATCGTCTCCTTGGCTAATATGCATTGCTCATAAGGCCATTAAAAAAATACAATATTTTTTTAACCTAAATGATTGTTCTATAAAAAGGATCTAAAAGTTAATATAACGGTAGTATATTTCCTATCTTTCTTCCTTTCTCTATCACACGGTCTTTCTCTTTTTGCTTACATTACACTTCATTTTAATCTTTGATTATTTTCAATTTGTCATTCTATCTTTCTTTCACCTTCCCTCCTGGCATTTCTTACATGCAATATCATCCAGATATGTTTTTCTAATACATGAAAAAAGTCGATTCCACAAAATGTTCCTACAGTTTCTGACCAAAATAATTTTTCCACAGCAAGAATCTAAAAGTTTGTAGTTATATAATGGTAATATGTTTTCTCTCCCCCTCTACTTCTCTGCCCTTCTTTACCTTTATATTTCTCTATCTCTCTCATTTTTTCGTTTTACGAAATAATACCTCTGAAACATTTAGCTGAATATACTCCCAATATAAAAATAAATTATTCTTTACATTTCTTTATACAACGTTCTCCAGATAAATTTTTCTTATATATACATTAAAAAAAAATTCACATAATTCCACTTTCTGACGAAAATAATTTTTTGAAGTCTGACTGTGTTCTCTCTGTATTTCTCTCTATTTTTTTCTTATTTAATATCAGTAAAAAGTAAATTATGTATTCAGGTTAGATATTTGTGAATACTGACTGATCAAGAGCGAAAAGTATATATCTATACAAAAATTTTTGTCCATGTCATTTCAATCATTTCATAATCTGAACCGTAACAAATAATACGAATACGTGGTTATTTGAAATAAAATTATTTAAAAAAAAACAAGTATCAGGGTGTTTAGAATCTGATATTCCTTGTTTCACAATGCAAAATGGAATTTGCATATATCTCTACCCGCTGAATAATATTAAAAGCTGTAGTTAATAATCCCGTCCACCCTTTCCCGGACGCGGAGAAAAAATCCCATAGATCCAGTTTATTTTAAAATTCATAGAGCAAAACAAAACAAAATGTATTCTTCATTTGCCCTCAGGGGACTTACAGTGTGAGAATCTTATATATACATTAAAAAAAAAATTCACATAATTCCACTTTCTGACGAAAATAATTTTTTGAAGTCTGACTGTGTTCTCTCTGTATTTCTCTCTATTNTTTTATTGTATATAGTATGTCTTATGTGTTATGTGTCTATATGTTTTGTCTGTGTGCATGTATTTATTAGCGTGAATGGCGAGGGGTGAGGGTGAATATAACGTCATCATCGCCCCTCGAACGATGAAAGCGGGTGAGTGTGTGTTCGGGGTCGATGGCGGAATATTTATAAAAGTACCCCATCGACCCCAATCTAGTTTAGTTTAAGTGTAGGTCGGTGGAGGAATATCAAGTACTCCACCGACCAAACGGAATGAGTGTACTGTATGGATGTATTTAAGTGTATAAATGTATTTATTTGTATGAACGTGTATAGAATATAGACTTAGTGGGGGCTGAAATGACCTAGATGTCGGAAGCCCCAGCAAAAAAAAAAAAAAAAAATAATAATAATAATTTCACAGCCGAATTTCGTCGCGTTTCACCATTTATCTTCTAGTTTCTTTCGGCAAGTGACATAGCCCCTAGTCACGTAAATATCATTAAATTGAAAAAAGAAACCAACTCGGGCTTGTACCGAATATTCGCATTACAATGTTCAAAATGGGTAGTTAATATTGACTAAGATGGAATGAGAATTTTATAATTTACCTTTTCGATTTCGATGGGTCTGTACTTTTGAGGATAGATATGAAATTACAAAATTATATATTAGCGATAATTCTCCCAACAAATCTCAAAATTAATAATAATATTTTAATACTAATACTCACCATATTAATAACTAATAACAAACAATATTTTGTAAATTAATCATTTCATTATCTGAATCATTATGCGAAAGCTACGTTCATTTTTCTTGGTTTCCTCTTAGTCATATGCCATCGGAAAAAGTCAAATAGACAGATTTACTGAATAAAGGATGGTTAGACGTTATGAAATTCAAAAAAATTCAAAACTTTGTATATTTCATTTAAAAAAGTTGGAGAGAAGAAGCAAAGCTTATTTTGATACATGCCCGCTCAGGCATTAAGAGTATGAAAAGACAGTTAAAACATCAAAACAGATAATAAATATCTCTTCAAGCTAGAGGAAACAAGGAACCACCTTCCATGATGTTAAAGGTAAAAAAAAAAAAATCAATAAAAAAAATCGTAGCAACCTTCGTATATAATTTGAAAAGTCCTAGTATGACTATGGTCAGTAAACAAATCAATCAAACAATGGATATCTTTATAAAACACTAAGAATAAGATAAATCGCACTGACCCACGGACGCATAATAGCCAAATAACCCTCTAAGCACCTGCCATTAGTGAAGAGGCGCATTATCAATCCATCGCATTCTCACTGACAAAAAAGAAAATATTTTTTTGACGGCTATCAACCCCAATGCTATTTAAGCCTTTGAAAAAAAATTTGGTATACAGAAATTTCCATAATTTTTAATGTAATATATAATAAAAAGTCTTATTGTCTTGTTTTTAAAATAATTTTTTATTAAAAACTTTTTCAATAAAATTGCTATTATAGTGAAGAAATATTTGAGCCTATAAATATAAATCTTTTGGTACTCGATGAATTGTATTTTATGGAATTGTAAAATCTATTATTTTCCTTCTAAATAACAAAC